TTCATGTGATGGCCTGGCTTATTAGGGATGATAGACTACTCATATTAATAAGGAATTCCTTCTTTTTCGGGAGCCCATTCAGACAGAACTCCAAAGTTAAGTGTGCTCAGCTTGGAGTAGTGTCAGGATGGGTGACCGACCGGGAAGTTGCTCCAGGGTGCGCACGAGTGAGGACAAAGTGTGCAGAAAAGACTAGTATTGATCTGTGGGGCCAGTCTAGATCCCGCCAGGAGTAACGACCACCGGCGGGTGTGTTTGGAGCGTTACAAGTTGGTATCAGAGCCGACCCTCGCGGTTACACGGATGTTTGCGGACAGGTACGCGGTCATGTTGTTCATGACGTTTGTGACCCGTCGTGGCACGCAGCATCGTACATGTACCGGACTGGATGCACAGACGTATGTGCCAAGAGGGAACGTTCCTGTGGCCCGACGAGGACGTTGGTTCCTCTGAGTGGGGGTGTATGTGATGGCCTGGCTTATTAGCGATGATAAACTACTCATATCAACAAAGAATTCCTTCTTTTCTGGGAGCCCATTCAGACAAAACTCCAAAGTTAAGCGTGCTCAGCTTGGAGTAGTGTCAGGATGGGTGAACGACCGAGAAGTTGCTCCCGGGTGCGCAGGAGTGAGGACAAAGTGCACAAAAAAGACTAGTATTGATCCATGGGCCAGTTTAGATCCCGCCAGGAGTAACGACCACCGGCGGGTGTGTCCGGGGCGTTACACTTCGCCACTGTTTGCATCATGCCTCCCGGATAAAAGAGTAAACAAAAACACACAACATAAGAATAAACCTATTACTTTTTGTTCTCCATTCACACATTTAGTGGTGTACATCAACCTGGAATTCTAGCAGTTGGGCTCTCGGGAAGGTTTTTATGTTAGAGAATTATCATATTGCAATTTTAGAATTCCGATCAGTACTAGGAATTTCAACATCATATCCAAGAGAGCATGCACTACATATGTATTTCTTCATGTTATATCCAAACTTCAATTCGTAATTTTATTTGCATGGGCATTTATCTATAAATTATCTTTGTTCTCTTGTGTGCTATTTAGACTCCGTTATTGAATTGTGATGTATTGTGCTTTGTTTTATAATCTTATATAGAAACATATGAACAGAAAGTCAAACAAATACAAAAATAAGCAAAAAATAGTAACACAAATGGGATTATCATAAATCACTATAATGACAACTCAACCTTTGCCTTAAATGCTCGCTCAAGCATACAAAGACTGCGACAATAGTGCATGTATTTTCTTTTCCAAATTCCTTTTTGTGTGTGGGAATTTCTGGTTCAAATCCAAATGAGAGATATTCAATTGGTTTTACTCAATCATGTATTTTGGGCACAAAATAATTATATTGTGTAGGAATCCAATCAAGGTTTGACGAAATTTGACAAAAGTTTGAATTATGCATGAATTCATGTCTCATTGAGATGACCTGACCGAACTGCAAATATGTTGGTACATACTGAAATCGCTGAAAACTTTGACGGAATTCCATTGGAATCGACAATTACGCACAAATAATTAGTAGTCTGATCCTACCTTGAAGGATTAAGGGTTGGATCTGATAGAATGGGGCACCTCATCTTTGTTTTATTTTACTACACCTTATGACAAGCTTTGGGAATAGTGAGTTATAGAACTTGACAGCAAGCTCACCATGTTGGTTGCAATGTGCAACATTGCTAAAAAGTGCCTACATCAATAAACAAAGTTGTAACTGAATCTATGATGATAATGATGAAGTTACATAAATAAAAGAAGCAACATGGACTTGGAATAGAAAAGAAACAACAATGAGTACACAAAGGATATAAGATGTGGCTAGAAATGTTAGCTCAGAAACCTTTGTCTCACAAGAAGATGCAAATATATAAATATCACTAATTACTTTCATTGCATCGATCAATCAATACAACACTAGATGTCATTTTTGTTGATCAATTCTCATACACATGTAGATGAAATTGAGTGTCATTGACCACATAGACACATAGTACATGCTACGGCGAATGTATAAACACACAAGGATCCTTCATGTGTCGGTATCTGCTAGGAACCAACGACCAATGTGTGACAGAGCTA